CAAAAAAAAAAAAAAAAAAAATCCATTCTTGATATGGATACCAATACAACCACACAATTATAATTACATAACTTCATATTAACATATATAATAATGTTAAACATGTATTAACATACTTTATAACAATTTCATTTGGCCTTTTTTCAGCTTAAGCAGAAAACAGGAAAAACATGGGTATTTGCTTTATAGGCCAAACCTCAGAAAATGGTGCTGTCAGGTGGAAAGTTTTCAACATTTTAAATAATGTAAAAATAGTACAAATTTTGACGCATTGCCAACAGAATCAAAGAATGCATGATTTTATAGCTAAATGGCACTGGGGTTAAATATTGCTGTTTTAATGGAGACATTTTTATCCTTAAGGTCCTGAGTGTAACTGTTTTTGTACCTAGTGTAAAATAGATTTATAAGGGTGAAATATTCAAATTCCAATAAAAATACACATTTTTGGCAAATTTTATGCTGTTTGCATTAACAACAACAACAACAAAAATGTCTCTGAGGATACACAAGGGTTAAAGGAAGCAGTTTCTTTTGGATTATTTGACGTTTAGATAACCTCAGAAGATCATTTTATTGCTCAGGATTTGTACTTTCATAGCTCAGGGGACTCTTTCTACTTAAATTACACAAATGAGACCATAGTTGATATACAATAAAACCATAAAGCTTTAAAATAAAAATCTTGGTAGAATTAGATGAGAAAATGTTTGACTTCACAGACTGTGGTATCTTTATTGAGAAACTAGAGAAGACACTTATGAGATTAGAGGGGAGTTCTTCACAGAAGCAAAAATCTGAGAAGCAGGAGGCTTAACTTAGTCTCCTTTTAATCTCATTGCTGTCCAGGAGAAACAACCGAGATACTAAGTGATCTCATTTGTGATTTTTCTCACCGAAACATGAACCAGTAAATACGAAACGCACTGGCATGTTGAGTCAAACCTACCCAAGTGACCTGTAATACCCTCAACGTTTCCAAACACGACTGCATGTTTCTCAGTACCGAAGGAACTGGTTTAACTTGTCGGTTACTAGGGGGCATGTAGAGTAGGTTTTACTAGTGTTGCGAGCTGAGAAGGAGTTTCATTGCATCCACGTCTCAGAGTTGTGAGAGCTCAGAGCTTGTCTTTTCCCTGAAGTCTGGGTGCGTTTATGTGTAATTTATTGTTTCCTGTGAAAAGGGCGAGGTGAGCTGTCCAACTCTGAACTGCTCAGTGAATCAAAGGGATCAAAGAGGGTTTTGTGGTTAGGGGACGCGAAGAAAAGCAACAGGAATTGTGATATGACAAAAACATGTCAGCCCGGTAAGCCTCGGAGGTCTTCAGAGTGCTGTTGAATGTGTTTCTCCTCCGAGTCTGACTTGTTTGGCTTACTGTCTGCAGCTTGAAGGGATTCGCTCCGGGGCGGCTCTGAATTCTCGACGTGGGAAGGTTTCTCAAGCAGCTCCTGCTGGTGAACACAGAGATGGCCATGGTGAGCGGGGGATGGGCCAACCCCAACGGCGGCGCTAATGGACTCGGTGAGAAAGGTTACCTGCGGGGGGAGGAGGAGAGCAGCTCGCCCCGGGCGGGGAACAGCGACGCAGAAGGTGGCGAGGAGGACAAGGCCTGCGTGGTGGACTGCGTGGTGTGTGGTGACAAATCCAGCGGCAAGCACTATGGTGTGTTCACCTGTGAAGGGTGCAAGAGTTTCTTTAAGAGGAGCATCAGACGGAACCTCAACTACACCTGCAGGTGAGACACACACATAATATCCATCACTCTGTCTTACATTGGTTAGCAAACAGGTTTTCCACTTACATTAGAATTTTTGTAATTAAATGCAAAATTTGATTACCACAAACTGCACAATAGTCAGTTTTCTAGCAAGAAACTGAAGGCTCATCGCCATCTATATATAAATAAACAAAAAGATTTGCGACTGCTCAGGCTCAACAGCCAATCACACGCTGTGTTTCCAGATGCAGCTTGGCAAAGGAATTTGGCTGAACTTTCTGTGAACTCTGTTAACCTCTTACTGACATTTAAATTACAGTGTATGTAAGTGAACATGTATATACTCGTGAATCAGAGCCTGTAATAAGGGAGATGAATAAATCATAGTAATCATGCTATAATAAATGCTTGACGCTGACTTTTTTTCTCAAGGAGCATGTGCTCCTAAGTCAATTTAGGGGCACAATGAAAAAAAATTATTCACGATCCACGCTGCGTAGTTCCGATCTGAATAATGATTCGCAAACCATCATTTCAGATCGGTACTTCAGAGCGCGGATTGTGAATCATTCAATTAGGGAAATAATTCACAAAGCCGCTCCGAAGTTCGGATATACAGGTGCATCTCAATAAATTAGAATGTCGTGGAAAAGTTCATTTATTTCAGTAATTTGAGTTGAATTACTGAAATAAATGAACTTTTCCACGACATTCTAATTTATTGAGATGCACCTGTAAATCAAATGATTTGCGAACCCGCTCCAAAGTCCCGATCGGAATCAGATGATTCGTGATTCACGATCCGATTGGAGTGCTTCGAAACAGTGAATCATTTTGCAATGCAATGGTTTAACCAATTCTGAGTTTCGAAAAGCTCAATTTCACCCATCACTATACAATATAATTCACATTAAAATCTGTTAATTAATTTTAAATAGGTTGACCAATGCAATTCAGTTGGTGACAGTTCAATATGAAATTAGTACGATGGCCGAGAGAGCTCAAGGCGCTGCAACTTCAGAAAACACATGCAAATAGAAAAAGCACCAGCAAATTAAGAAAACATCTTCATCAGTTTGACAGCACATGTGCTGCAAATACTCACAAGACAAACAAATAAAGAAATGCGCTGCAAATACTCACAAGACAAACAAATAAAGAAATGCGCTGCAAATACTCACAAGACAAACAAATAAAGAAATGCGCTGCAAATACTCACAAGACAAACAAATAAAGAAATGCGCTGCAAATACTCACAAGACAAACAAATAAAGAAATGCGCTGCAAATACTCACAAGACAAACAAATAAAGAAATGCGCTGCAAATACTCACAAGACAAACAAATAAAGAAATGCGCTGCAAATACTCACAAGACAAACAAATAAAGAAATGCGCTGCAAATACTCACAAGACAAACAAATAAAGAAATGCGCTGCAAATACTCACAAGACAAACAAATAAAGAAATGCGCTGCAAATACTCACAAGACAAACAAATAAAGAAATGCGCTGCAAATACTCACAAGACAAACAAATAAAGAAATGCGCTGCAAATACTCACAAGACAAACAAATAAAGAAATGCGCTGCAAATACTCACAAGACAAACAAATAAAGAAATGCGCTGCAAATACTCACAAGACAAACAAATAAAGAAATGCGCTGCAAATACTCACAACACAAACAAATAAAGAAACATGCAGCTTGGCATATTGATTACCATTTGTATAACCACAGTTGTACAAATACCATGTTTAAAACTCTGGTTAGTGTAGTAAATCCATGGTTAATTTGTGCATGGTTACAGTAACCATTTTTCGTTTAAATTTTTCTTATATAATAAATGTATTTATTAATGAATTAATTTTAATAGTAGGCTATGGTTAATTTTTGTAAGGTAAATTGTAAAAGTTCTAGGGCCACATATTATGATCAGGATGTTAAAATAAACAAAAATCTCACCTTTCAGAGTAGACATTGATAAGCATGTCCAAGCTATGTTTGTCACTTTGCGGTTCCCTTATATAGGCTTAGATCTCTGCCACAATTCTGCTCGTGAAAGATCATATTTTGAGCGCACAAAAGTGCATTTTGCACGCGCAATCAAAAATACAAACGCAAACAAAGAAAAATATAACGTAGAAATAGGCAGAAAACGAAATATTCCTTCCTATATATATATATATATTTATATATATATATATAAATCAGTTTTCAAGCATTTTACTACACTTCAGTATGTTATTCTTATTAAGTAGGGGTAATTTTTTAGGATTCTATACTTCTCCTAAGTCTCTGAGAACCTGAGACCTTGTACGTCTGGAGACTCCAGGTAGGTTGCAGTTCTGGAAAATGGCTTGACTTATTTATAAGATTTTCTGGGTGCAAACAGAATTACAAAAATATCCGCAGTGTGCCATAATAGCAACATGCTACATTTTCATTTCCCGATCCAAAAGAATACCCAGCCACTACAGCTGAATGTGTACAGGGCTGTCGAAACACACTTGTGCATGTTCTGTGTATAATTGGCCTCTTACAGCAGATGTAACATTAGCCTTGCTGAATGAGTGAACAGAATTGTGTCCTTTGTGTTTGTGCCAAGGTTACGTGACTCGTGAGTGATAATTTACCTGAGAATCACTGGAGAGCTCTTCACACATCACAGCTCAGAAAGGACGGAGATTAATTTACATTCAGCTTTATTTGTTGGATTTAACGCTCAACTGAAATAGTTATATTTATTAGTGTTATTGAGTTTGAATTTGTGCCTTTTCAACACAAAAGACAGGTTTCACTTTTGTTCACATAATTAGTTCTATTTTTATTCATCAACATTCAATGAAGTTAAGTCACTTTTGCCTTTTTATATTTTTTTCTTGTCAGTTTGCATTTGTACTCATTTTAGGGATTGTGACAATTTATTGGGAGACACTCAATACAATTAATGTATTAATTTATAAGGGTAATTGTGTCTTTAATTACTTTGAATCTGGTATGTAAACACTTGTTTTTGGTGCTGTAATGTCAAATCTCAATGTAACACAGTCTTCCCAAGATCTGCCTTTATTCTGCACAGATAACACTAGAATTAATGACTTAAATTGTCAGTATCTATGCTGAGATTATAATATAACATCCAGGAAAGATATGATCATGACGTTATTGGAAGATTCTATCTTTTTTAATTATGCAATCTGTAGTGATGTTCACACCCTGCAACCTTCCACTGATCACCCATTATCTTTTAAAGGTGCCAAATCTTAAATCATCTCATGTATTCTCTTGGCTCAAAGGTGTCTAAACTGTCTTCACAGGTCAAACAGAGAGTATCAGATTGTTTTTGGTGCTGTAATGTCAAATCTCAATGTAACACAGTCTTCCCAAGATCTGCCTTTATTCTGCACAGATAACACTAGAATTAATGACTTAAATTGTCAGTATCTATGCTGAGATTATAATATAACATCCAGGAAAGATATGATCATGACGTTATTGGAAGATTCTATCTTTTTTAATTATGCAATCTGTAGTGATGTTCACACCCTGCAACCTTCCACTGATCACCCATTATCTTTTAAAGGTGCCAAATCTTAAATCATCTCATGTATTCTCTTGGCTCAAAGGTATCTAAACTGTCTTCACAGGTCAAACAGAGAGTGTCAGATTGATCAGCACCACCGTAACCAGTGTCAGTACTGCCGTCTGAAGAAGTGTTTCCGGGTCGGTATGAGGAAAGAAGGTCAGCAAACCAGTGAGAGATATATATATATATTTGTAATAAATATTTTACTATATACATGAGTCATTCTAGTCATTTCACATCAGGAAAGTGTAAAAACAATGTGCTTTCTCAGTAAAACAGCTACCGGTTTCAGTTGATCTGTTATATCAGTGTAACTTATCTACTAGTTGCTAAGCTTAATTAAGTGAAGTGACATGTGGCCAAGTATGGTTACCCATACTAGGAACTAGTGCTCTGCATTTAACCCATCCTAAGTGCACACACACAGCAGTGAACACACACACACCGTGAACACACACCCGGAGCAGTGGGCAGCCATTTATGCTGCGGCGCCCGGGGAGCAGTTGGGGGTTCGGTGCCTTGCTCAAGGGCACCTCAGTCATGGTACTGAAGGTGGGAGAGAGTGCTGTACATTCACTCCCCCCACCTACAATTCCTGCCAGACCGGAGACTCGAACTCGCAACCTTTGGGTTACGAGTCCGACTCTCTAACCATTAGACCATTGGACATGAGTAAAATGAAATATTTTCTCATTTGAAAGACAAATACAGAGTTCTGATATTTGAGTTCTGAGTTCCGATAGGTCTAACTCAATCTGACCTAATGACATCATTATCACATGGCACAGCTGACTGGTTCTCTCCTGTATCGGTAGCCAATGAGCTTGCTGCTCAACATTCAAATATATGACTAGTGCGTGCCATAGCAGTCGCAGCTTGCTTCAGAAACTCTCCACCTTCCCCAGCTCCACCTGTATAGATCTGCTACGAAGTGATTCATGTATGCTATATGGGGGTTATTTCATGTATGTTAGGCTACGTTCACACTGTCGATTTTTGGGATTGACAACCGCATTTTCTTTACAGGGGTGAGTCTCAAAATTTCCAGGGCGTCAAGCCTGTATTCCTTACCAGTAACCATAGCGACAGTGACCAAAGTAAAATCAAAGATGGCGACGTCCATAAAACTGAAAGTCTTATCACTTTCTGACACGACAAGAGTCCAATCGAGCCGCGAGTTCATCCGTCAAATCTTCATTAACCGACAGCAGCCTTTAAATTTGGGTGGAGAGCGGAGTATTTGAGTCGCGCGCAGAACACAATAACTGTCGGGAGCGGCTCCGGTGGAAAACCGACGGGATCTAAAAATTTCAGGTGACAGACACGCAGCTCATTTCTCCGTCACTGTAAGTTACCGAAAACACACATGTGCGGCAGAGCGGCTCCCTCTCGCACTGTATGACGTGACAGACAACTAGTTGTCCAGTCCTGTTCTGTTCACACAGGGCGTGTGTTCTGAGAATGCGGTTGTGAGTCCTGAAAGTTTACAGGTGTGAGTTCGGTTACAGAATGCGGTTGTCACACCCGTAAATAACCGAACTGTGTGTGAACATAACCGTATTAAGGACTCAAATACAGGACTGACAACCATATTCTGCTGCTGTGTGAACGTGGCCTTATATTTGCAGCAGCAATATTTCTTACATGCTCACAGCAGCATGTTGTGGATGTATTGGCAGTAGCAAGTCTCGGTACTTGCTCTGCCGCAGCAGCAGCGTAGCAGATCTATTCCGCCAA